GCATGGACTATGCCTGGTGTTCAGAGAAGGGCCATGAAGAAGTTTTCCTTCCCAGCCTGAGTCCTGGGCACAAACAAGTCCCAGCTTCCCCCCTGAGCCCTCCCACTCCGTCTCTGCAGACTGTCTCCTCCCCTGGCTTCTCTGATTTCGAACACCTGACCTTGGGTCCAGCCTGGAATGTCGGGAGGGGGTTCCCTCAGCCCCAGAGAGCCCCATCTAGTGGGAAGGGCTTCACAGAGGCGGGGGAGGAAGGGTCCTCAAGGTCAAGTGGCTTCTTTCTTTCACCAACATGTCCCTTTCTGTAACTTCTTTGCTTTTTTTTTTTACCTACTCCATGAACTACAAGGAACATAGGAGGTTTTGAAATAGGCTCACATTACTTTTCCCCAAATGAGAAGACGAAACCCCCTCAGAGGAGGGATGAGCATCTCGGAGCTCTGCTCCCTGCTCTGCTCCCAGCTCGCCTGGTGACCGGCTCTCTCTGACTCCATCTGGGGTGGGACGGGCTATGTGGAGAAGGTATCCGGATGGCCTGGCCTGAATCTGGCCATATTGTGCTGCCAGAGACTTCCCCTGGTGAAGCGGCAGGGAAATGGGAAGAAAGAACACCTCAGGGCAGACTCCTGGCCTGCGTCCTGGCTCTGAAGTCACCAAATACATAAAGCTGTGGACACAGCACCTGTGACGCACTATAGAGAACAGCAAATGATGCCCCCATGGAGAAATAGAAAAATCCTCCCATGGAATCTCTGCAGGGGGAAACTGGTAGCTCCAAAAAGTTTATGTCTGTAGAGAATGTAAGAGTTTTTCAGCCTTTTATTAACACCAGTCCACAGACCAGGAAGTAAAAGTCCTCTTCACGTTGAGATTAGATCAGAACTTGTTCAGATACAAGGTCATGAAGATTGACGGGGCCTTCTTCATTTCCTAATAAGTTATTTAGTGGAAGAAAGCACCTCTTTTGTATGTAAAGCGACAGTACTAGGAAGGGGGCCTGATCAAGGACGCTCTAGGAAAAGGTCACATAACAGTCAATGGGAGAAAGGTTGCACCTGACAAGGTTGCAGGACGTGTGCGCTAAGAGAAGGGTCCTGGTGCGGAGACCACAGAGATGTCCAGGGGAATAGTCAGGGATCAGCCTGGGGTCAGAGGGGAAGTGCCGCCCTCTCCTTACAGAGCATCTCCTGAACAAAGACACCCGACCTTCTACAGAGGGTCACAGCTGTCCCTGGGTGGTCACCTTTGCACAGCTCACTGTGGGACCTGACAGCTGGCTGAGATCTCTGAGGAAGGAGCATGGCCCCAGGCCCTAGGCCACTCTCAGTCCTCTGTCTGTCCATAGAGACAGTGGCACAGCCCTCCATCCACGCCAGCAGCAGCACAGTCACAGAAGACAAGGACTCCGTGGTCCTGACCTGCCTCACAAGTGACACTGGAATCTCCATCCAATGGATCTTCAATAACCAAAGTCTGCAGGTGACAGAGAGGATGGAGCTGTCCCAGGACAACATCACTCTCAGCATAAACCCTGTCAAGAGGGAGGATGCCGGGGAGTATCAGTGTGAAGTCTCCAACCCAGTCAGTCACTACCGAAGTGACATCTTCAGGCTGACCGTGGAATGTGAGTGACCCCTCGCCCCTCCCTACATCTTCCCGGGAGGATTACTCTGCCAATGGTGTGCAAAATGGGTAAAAGTCCAGGGGACAGAATATCAGTTAAGAGACCATTAGAGTAAACAGAATTGCAAAGTGGTTAAGAGCTCGGGCTCTGAATCAGATATACTTAGTTTTTAATCCTGGGTCTTGCATTTATTGTGTGACTTTGCATAACATTGTGTTTTTGTTTCTCTGTTAACATTTGTGCGTGTGTGGTAAAATATACAATACATAAGACTTACATTTTAGCCATTTTCAGTGTACAGGTCAGTGGCATTAAGTACATTCACAGCGTACAACCATCACCGCTATCCATTTCCAGAACCTTTTCTTCCTACCATACTAAGCCTGTGTACCCCTTAAACAATAACTACCCACTGCCCCTCCCCCCACTTTCTGTCTCTGTGTATTTGACTATTCTAAGTACCTCTCATATAAGTGGAAACATACAATAATTGTCCCTTTTTGTCTGGCTTACTTCTCTTAGCATAATGTCTTCAAGGTTCATCCATGTTGTAGCATGTATCAGAATTTCATTCCTTTTTGAGACTGAATAATATTCCACTGTATAGATATACCACATTTTGCTTATCCATTTTTCCATCTATGAACACTAAGATTGCTTCCTTCTTTTGCCTATTATGAATAAGGCTGCTATGAACGTGGGTATTTAAATATCTGTTCTAATCCCATTTTCAGTTCTTTTAGGTATATATCTAGAAGTGGAATTGCTGGATGAAATGGAGATTCGCTGTTTTTTGAGGAACCACCATATCATTTTCCACCATGGCTGTACCATTTTATATTCCTACCAGCAATGCCCAAGAGTTCCAATTTCTCTACATCCTCAAAAACACTTGTTTTCTGTTTTTGTTTTGTTAGCCATCTTAATGGGTGTGAGGTGGTAAATCACTGGAGTTTTGATTTGCATTTCTCTAATGATTACCAAAGTTTAATATCTTTTCATGTGCTTATGAGCCGTTTGTTTATCTTCTTTGGAGAAATGTCTATGCAAGTCCTTTGCCCATTTTTTCAATTGGGATGTTTAGGGTTTTTTGGTTTTTGTTGAGTTGTAGTAGTTCTTTATCTATTCTGGATATTAATCCCTTATCAGATGTATGATTTTCAAATATTTTCTCCCATTTTATAGGTGGTCTGTTCACTTTCTTGATAATGTTCTTTAATGCACAAAAATCTTTAATTTCCATGAAGTCCAATTTATCTATTTTTTCTTTTGTTGCCCATGCTTTTCATGTCATAGTCAAGAAATCATTGCCAAATCCAATGACATGAAGTTTTCATTCTATGCTTTCTTCTTAGATTTTTATAGTTTTAGCTCTACATTTAGGTTTGTGATCAATTTTGAGTTAATTTTTGTGTATAGTATTAGGAAAAGGTCCAACTTCATCTTTCACATGGATATAAAGTTTTCTCAACACCATTTGTTGAAAAGACAATCCTTTCCCCATCAAATGGTCTTGGCACCCTTGTCAAAAGCCATTTGGCCATATATGCAAGTGTTTATTTCTGGGGTCTCTAGTCTATTCCATTGGTTTCTATGTCTTGTTTTATGCCAAAACCACATTGTTTTGAATACTGCAGCTTTGTAGTAAACTTTGAAATAAGGAAGAGTGAGCCCTTCAACTTTGTTCTTTTTCAAGATTGTTTTGCCTATTCAGGGTCCCTTGAGATTCCATGTGAATTTTAGAATGGGTTTTCCTATTTCTGCAAAAAATCTCACTGGGATTTTGATGGGGTTGCATTGAATCTGTAGTTCACTTTGGGTAGTGCTGCCATCTTAATTATCTTCCAGTTCATGAAAACAGGACATCTTTTCCATTTATTTATGTCTTCTTTAATTTCTTTCAGCAATGTTTTGTAGTTTTTAGGGTATCAGTCCTACACATTCTTCCTTAAGTTGTTAATATTCCTAGGTATTTTTTTTTGGAGTTCTTATAAATAAAATTTTGTTCTTAATTTCCTTTTCCTTCATTGCTAGTGTACAAAAATATAACTGATTTTTGCATGTTGATTTTGTATCCTGCAACTTTGCTGAATTTGTTTATTAGCTCTAAAAGTGTTTTTGTGGAATCTTTAGGGTTTTCTACTTAAAAGTTCATGTCATCTGCAAACAGAGATAATTTTGCTTCTTTCCAATTTAAATGCTTATGCTTTTTTTTTTCTTGCCTAATTCCTCTGGCCAGGGCTTCCAATACTCCATTGAATAGAATGGCAAAAGCAGGCATCCTCATACTGCTCTTGATCTTAAAGGAAAAGTTTTCAGTCTTTCACAATTGAGTATGATGTTAGCTGTGGGCTTTTCATATATGGCCTTTATTAGGTTGAGATTATTTACTTCTATTCCTAGTTCGAGTGTTTTTATCATGGAAGAATGCTGAGTTTTGTCCAATGCTTCTACTGATTGAATTTCATTACTTGTTGTAGGTCTATTCAGATTTTCTGCTTCTTTATGATTCCACCTTAGCAGGTTTTGTGTTTCTAGAAATCTGTCCATTTCATCTAGTTATCCAATTTGTTGGCACACCATTATGCCTAGTACTCTGATAATCACTGTTTCTGCAGAATCGGTAGTAACGGCTTCACTTTCATTTCTGGTTTTAGTAATTGGAATCTTCGCTCTTTCTTTCTCAGTCAATGTAGTTAAAGGTTGTTGATTATGCTGATCTTGTTTAAAGAACCAAGTTGCGGTTTCATTGATTTTCTCCATCGTTTTTCTGTTCTCCATTCTATTTATCTCCACTCTAATCTTTGTTATTTCCTTTACCCACTATCTTTTGGTTTAATTTGTTCTTTTTCTTTATCCTTAAGTTGCAAAGTTAGGTTGATTTGACATTTTCTTCTTTTTTAATGTGTTTACAGTTATAAATTTCTTGTACAAGATTCTTAACTTCTCTGAGCCTCAGATTCCTCAACCAAAAATTGCAACAAGAGTACCGGCTTCATAGTATTGTTTTAAAGACTTAAATAATTAAACCTTCAGCAAAATGCCACACACAGACGAAATGTTTCATACATGTTAGCTGATATTATTACTACTGTTATCATTAACCTTGAAGTCAGATAGTCCTAGCTAGAATTAAATCTCAGATGCACCTCTCAGCAGCCATATGACTTTGGGTAAGTTTTTTTCACCACTCTAAGCCTCTACTTTTCACTTTTAAAAAGGAAATAATGTATCCCTAACAGGGTTACTGTATAGATCAAATGAGATACATGTAAAGTGTTTAGCACAGGGCCTGGCACATAGTAAGTACCCCACAATCATAGCTAACATTAGCATTAATCCTCTGGCTTGAGTTGACTGGTAAGGAGCTAAGCCCCCAATGGTTGCAACAGAAAAAAAGAAGAAACAGGTGCAAAAGGTATTTTATGTAGATATAGATATAGATAGATATATAGATATTTACACACACACACACATATAAATATGGGAGGGAAGATGTATTACACAAAAAATCCCACTGAGATATGGTTACTGACTAAATATGGAAGGGGAAAAAAGGAGCTAAGTGCAGTCTCAAGCCTGGTACATTCATTTTCATCCACTGAGATACAGCCATGATGGGATTACACACACACAGGATAATATACTGGGGAAAATGCCTGTGAGGGAGGGTGGGGCAGGAGTGGGAGGAGCCTGGGAGGGCCCTCAGACCATACTGCAGATCTGATGCCTGTGAGGGAGAAAGAGAAGGGAGTTTTAGGCTGCAGTGCAGTTCTAAGGGAGTTTCCAGAAGGCTGATGGGGAGTCCTCAAGCCAGTCACCCATCAGAGGAAACCAGAGCCTGGCAGAACTGGGCTTGCCTTCATACCCGTGCTGGGAGCCCCTGGGAAGTGAGGTCTCTGTGCAAAGGAGGTGGTGAACCCAGAGGATACTGGCCTGGCCCTTCTGTCAACTCAG